ATATATTCATATTTATTCACTTTGTATGCTTATGCTATCCATAATTTTATATGTACTTGTGTTCCCCATCAGAATGTAAAGTCCTTGCCAGTAGGGGTTGATTGTTTTATTCTTTATACTTGTAACCCTAGAGCCAGGTGCCTAGAAAATCATATGTGCTTAATAAATACTTGTTTATTGATCCTTTGAAGGGGAAATGGAAAGGAAAGGAATAAGTATTTATATTTCACATATCATGTGCCAGGAATTGGGGTAAACACTTTATAAATACTACCTGATTTGATTCTCACAATCCTGCAAGTTAGATGCTCTTATTATCCCCATTTTACAGTTGAGGAAACTGAGGTAGAGATTAAGAGACTTGTCCAGGGTCACTCAGCTAGCATCTGAGCCCAGACTTGACCTCAGGCCTTCCTTACTTGCAGAGCTTTATCTAATACACCATTGCTTTCTTTCATTAGCACAATAGGGCAATTATATGATTTGCTAATTGACATCCTGGAAGGGCAGGGTGGGAGAGACAGACAGACAGACATAGCGAGTGCTGTGTTGGGAAGCTAGGAGTTTGGGACAGAATAAACAATAATAGTCAATAACATTTATTCAGCACCTAGTATGTGCCAGGCACTCTGCAAAAAGATGAGAGAAGATTAAGCATGACAGCAAGAAGGCAAGATGGCCCAATGCCCAACAGAGACAATGACCAAAGAGGCCAGAGCTGCAGCCCTAGTGGAAACTGCTTTGTGGGGAGAGGGGAAGAGAAGCGTAAAAACTCCAGGCTTGGCCTCCACTTACATTCAAGTCTAGTTATACACAAAACTTTGGATTTTGTACAGACTTTCACATAGATTTCTGCCCAGGCATTGTAATTGTTCCTCTTGATGGAGACACCATTTCTATAACACTGACACATGATGTGACAGTGTACTCAGCATCACTCCCTAACAGACATCTTCCACTGCTCCTGTCTCCAGTTTGGCCCCTGAAGCCATCGTCAAAGGGAGCTATACTTTCAGAGAAAGTGTCTACTACCACCACCTGACCGCCTGGACAAGTAATGCCTGAGAACTCCGTGAACAACAGTGCCACTACCATCCCCAGACCATCGATCTTGCTGTCGGCCTAGCTGGCCCATGTGGACGTTTTCCAGGGTAGCAACGTTTGTGATGTTACCTGGCAACTCCCTCTACAGATGATCCAACCCCCATCCCACCTTAGCAGCCATGGATACTAAAGACACGGAAAAGGGTTCCCACCACAGAAGTCCTTGTCACTGTCAAGGAGCTCAACATCATAAATGGATATTGTTTTTATGGCATTAAAAAGATGCATCACAATCTACTTTGTTGTTGCAAAGAACCTGAGGACTGTGAGGTTTTGTTCATCTCACTTAATGGCTGAGATGTTCTGAACGAGTATTTTCTCCTCCTATAGAAACATCTATCTTGCTATTCTCATATCCTCAGGACTTTGCAAAGTGCTTTGCACAAAGTGCGTGCTTTATAAATACACTCATTCGTTCATGGGAGCTCTTCAGAAAACTTCTTAAGGACCATACATGCTACGTCAAACGCTACTCCAGAGAGGGAACATCACGTGATATTCAAGACTTGACCACTGCAGCGACAAAAGACTTGGAAAGGGCTTTAGGGAATATCTCGTCTGACTCGTATTTTATAAAAGAGGGATGAAAGCCCAGGAGGCAATATGACTTGCTCAGTCACCGGGGAGCAGAACTAGACCTGGAATGCGGTCCTCCTAACCCTTCATCTAGCTGTCATGTCACTCACAAAACCCGGCCCCACTTCCCTGTCAGTCTGTCCAAGGCAAAAATCTGCCCATGCACGTGGAACATGATCTGATTTGGGACGGAGCAGAGGGAAGGCTAATTGGGTTCAATGAAGGTAACAACTGGGTAAATAGCACACTCTTCCCCCTCATGGCAACTGTCAGCATGTGTAGTGGGTTATGAGGGGAGCAGTGTCATCACCAATCTGGAGATTCCTGGGTTCACTCAGCCCAAAGAACCCCAGACTATTTCAGATTCTTTGTCCTGATAGGCTTTGATGTAACCACTGGAAGGTCTGGCTCACCTCAACTGACCTAAAACATTGGCCTTACGCTGAGCTTAGTCTGCTAAAGCATCCAGATTTTTTTTTTTAATCAGGTAAACCGCTATCTAGTCACGAGTCCCCCATCTTGTCCTTGATAAATTGATTTGTGTTGGAATTTGTATTTTGCTCTATTAAGTTTCATTTTTATTAGATTTGGTCCATTGTTCTAGTCTACCAGGATATATTTGGAGCCTGTCATCTGGTATTATTTAATTTATATTATCTGGCAACTTGATGAGCACATTCTCACTAGCCCTGCCCCCTTCCCCTATGCTAAGGCCTCAAACCCCACAAACTACCCTGTTATTTTTTGCATGTGCAATATATATACATAGATTGCACACACACACATGTATATAAACATACACACAAATGTCTCCTCAAATAGAATGTAAACTTCCTAAGGGTAGAAACTATCTCATTATTTGTAGTGCGTAGCACAGCAGAGACACTGTATGACTTTGGGTGAGTCATTCAACCTCCCTTCAACTTGTTTCCTCCACTATAAAATAAGGGCATTGATCTAGATGGTGTCTGAAATTCTCCCTAGCTCTAAATCTATGATTCTATGATCTTGGAATGCTGATTAATTGATCTGTGCCACTGGATCTCAAAATGTGGTCTGGGGACCTCTGGAGTCCTAAAGACACTTTCAGAGGGTCTGTAAGGTCAAAACTATTTTCATAAGAATATGAAGATGTCTTAATTTCTAATACGGTAAATTCAAAAGACATGAACTACACATGGGAAAGCTCTTTGGATGGGGGTGGGTCACTCAATTTTTAAGAGTGTAGAGGAGTGCTGAGACTCAAAAGTCGGAGAACCAGTGATTCTGCCTTCAGCCACATCACTGTTAAAAAAGTTAGACATCCTAGAACCAAGGACAGATCCCAGAAGTCCTGCACTAGCAATTATAAATTGACACCAAATCGTTAAAGACTGCCCTTTGGGTTCAGTTTTGCTAAGTCTATATAAACAGTTTTTACACTGTTCCCCTGATTTAGCAATCTAGTTAACTTGTCCAAAACTAAACACTATTACCTTGGACTTGGAAGTTAGAAAGAAATTAGTTCAATTGTTTTAGCCACTTAATAACTGTGTGACCTTGGGCAAGTCAAAGCCCCTATCAGCCTCAGTTTCCTCATCTGTTAAGTGAGGATAATAATAGCACCTACCTCTCAGGGTTTTGTTTTGCTTTTTAAGGATCTAATGAAATATGTAAAAGTCCTTTGCTAACCTTAAATGTTAACTGTTAAATGAACCAACTCTGGAATGACCTGTTTTGGTTTGTGGGATTTTTTTTGGGGGGTGGGGTGAGGCAATCGGGGTTAAGTCACTTGCCTAGGGTCACATAGCTAGTGAGTGCTGTGTCTGAGGATGCCAGAGCTCATGCTCTATCCACTGTGCCACCTGGCTGCCCCTTGACCTACTCTTGATGAAGCTATGACCACCAGTTTTTTCTAGATGTTCACTGAACACAGTCCCCAATAAATAAATGATCAAAGGATACGAAAAAGCAGTTTCAAAGGAAGGAATCCAAGCTATTATCAATCGCATGGGAAAAAAAAATGCTTTAAATGGCTCATAACTAGAGAAATGCAAATTAGATCATCTTTTCGTTTCTACCTCATATCTACCAGACTGGCAGTTAACAGAAGAGGAAAATGACAAATGTTGGAAGAGCTATGGGAAAAGAGGTGAACTACTGCACTGCTGGGGGAGCGGTGAGTTGTTTCAGCCATTCTAGATGGCAATTTGGGAATGCACCCAGGAAGATATCAAATTGTGAATACCCCATTGGGTCCAGCCATAGCCCTGCCAGGCGCATACCCCCAACAGATCAAAGAAGAAAAGGATCTACAGCAACTCTTCAGAGCTGCCCCAAACTGATAACTGAATGAATATATCCTTTTCAGAGAATGGATAAACAAATTGTGGAATATGAATGGAATGGAGTATCATTGTGCCATAAAAAATGGGACAGTTTCAAAGGAACTGCAAAGACCTGTATAAACCACTGCAGAGTGAAGTGAGTAGATTAGAACCATTTATACAATAACATTGCAGACAAAAACAACTTTCAAAGACTTTAAAATGGCAACCAGTGTAATGCTAAACCAAGAATCCAAACAAATGAAGGTGAAATGGGCCACTCTCCCATGAAACATGATGCGGAAAAGAGACATGCATTTCTGAACAAGCATGGTTAATAAGGGAATTTGTTTTGCTGAACTATGTAGAAGGATCCTTGAAAGACTTATCAGGGGTTTTTTGTTTGGTTTTGATTTTTTGCTCAATGAGGTTGTGGGAGGCACAGATTAACTAAAAATACTTATTTGAAAAATAAAAACAGTAAACTCATCAAAAAGATATTCTTTAAATATGCACTTAAAAACACATATAGAATTGTGCCCAGAATCAAGGTCAAACTCACAGAACTTTATTTTGCAAACTCTATTCTTTGCTTCCTTGAAAATGGGAAGATCTGCCCTTTTCCAAGCCTGCAACCTTTCTCTCATTCTCCACAATATTCCAAAGACCCCAAGCAGTGCCTCAGCAATCAGTTCCATCATGTCTTCAGTGTTCAGGGTGGCAAACTCAGATACCGTATTTTCCCATTCACTTTGTGTGGATTTTGACTCCCTATGTTAGGTATGTTTGTTGTGTCCTCTTCAGAACAAAGATCATTTTTCTTGGCAGAGAAAACTGATGTTCTCTTGAATTAAACTTCATTTAAAAACTGCTTCTCTTGAGCCATAAAGGTCAAATAGCCCCACTATGGTACTCCGTATATGAACATACCACCTACCCTCAACTGACAGGGAGTACAGTATTTGAAAATAAAACTGGGAAAAGAGGTAGGGACACAATAATTGAAAGTCAGACTTCTTAGACACGGCCAAAGAATCATTTTGATTTTATTTAGATGCTGTTGGTCACATGATGTATATGATACAATATTACAATAGTTTAGTTTATTATACAGTATAAATCATTAAAATTTTTACAATTCATTACATTGTCTTTGGATTATTAACTCTCAGTTGATACATACAAAATCCACACAAGCCCGAATCTGAAGAGCCCTTCTCTATATACAACAAACCTACCACATTTACAAAAACCCACCACGAGAAAGATGATGCACAAGCTTCTCCCAACACAGTCAATTACAATTAGTGTCAGTAACAAAAGAAGAAGGCATCATGGACCACTGTGTAAAAACTGATAATCTCAATTCCAATCAAATCAGTGTCTTCAGGATAAAAAACAGGGAGCGCAGGGTACAGCTCCTCAGATCCAACCCCACCCGTGCCTAAAGTGAACTGGTAATATTGGGACTTTCAGAAACTAGCCCATGTCTGAGCACACATTTCCTGTTTGGGTACATTTTTATTTGTGCAGAGTAAACCCAACGAAGAACTTGATCTTAAACTTGCCCTGGCTTGACAGTACTCCAAGAGAGAAGGTGCTCCAAGTGGCTGCCAGGCCTGGCTACTGCATGGATGCAGGGGACGGTGCCAAATGTCAAGTGGGGGGCCAATACTGACAGCTCAAAGCCTGTCTACACACCTCAGGGGCCTATTTGGAGGCAGGATCTACACACCTCAGGGGCCCATCTGGAGGCAGGATATTAGGGACCAAGAGAGTAGAAGCAACTAGGATTGTTTAGTCATGGCAACGGACATGGTCTCGGACTGGGAAGCCAAAAGAATGTATGAGAATGTAAGTGGAGAAGAACATGTGGCCCATTCACACAGGAGGAAGAAAACATGGAGAGTTAGTATGGCATTACTTGTATGAAAAGGACATGCAGGTCACCATATCCAAGTTCTGCAAAGGCACCAGAGTCTCAGTAACCCCTACACCCCTCTGGTAGGGCTCTTCTATTCTCCCTGCTCACCTTCTGCCTAACTGCCGGTCTTCATGCCGGCTTTAAAACTCCCCTCATGAAACCTGAGTATGTAGTGAATGTATTAGAGTGAATGTAGACACTCACTTCCCATTTCCTTCTCTGAGAAGTACCAAGTTGTCTATATTGCCCCATCCTTGCCTGCTAAAAGTAAATTCAATCTAAGACAACTGCAAAAAACCTGAGGAAAGGCTTTGAACATTTCCAACCTTACACTTCCTTATAATGTGTACATTAAAAAAAAAATGGGCACACACCATGGACTAAAAACATGAGTGGACATGGATACACACACACACACACACACACACACACACACACGCACACAGTACATAGTACATTACTATCAAGTCCGCTCTACAAACCTTCTTCCCAAAGGACAGGAGCCCCAGGACATCCCCAGGCACTCTTTTTGCCCCATTCTCCCAATAAAACTTCCCAACACTTCCAGGCACAATTAGAGATCTGATAGTGAGTTTGTGGTATTTCTGAACCCAGAAAACAAAAAGTCAATCATACCATTTTTTCAGAACCCAGTGAAATGGGCTGACGTTGGGTCTTAGTGCTTGAGCTGTCCGCCTCACGGAGAAATCACTTGGAAGACACACATATTTGGGGCTCATTTTGAATTTCCCTCCCTTGATTCAGTGGAGACTGTCCCAGGGACAAGGCACTTTGAAAGGCATGGATGTTAGTGCAAGAGCTCTGGGGTCAAAGCAGTGAAGGAAGTCAAGGGTCTGCCCCAAGGATTCAATACACTAGCGACACTCCAAAACCATGTCACACTTTCTGGAGATGCATCTATGGAAACCACATCGTACAAAGGGCTAAAATAACACACCACTTTTGTAAGCAGGGCTCCACTGAGTCAGCTTGGCCTTGGCTGCACTAATTTTTGAGAAGCCAAAGGCTGTACAAGATACCTACCAGTGTGTATTTGGACCAATCTCTCATAGAAAGAGCTCAGACTCACACATTCCACCTCACTTATAGAATATGAAATGTCACTTTAACTTTCATTGTGTAACAGGCCAATCAGAAGTACACAGAATTACTTCCACGAACGCATTCTGAGACTGTCTGTATAAAGCAGCCCCATCACACAAATACGCTTGATCTCAAGCAATGTGCAATTGTCCTTGGAGATTCTGGCCAAGGACAGAAAACTCTAGCTTAGACTGACATTGAGGATATCAGTTGTAGAAATTTCTATGAAGGAGATGTCTTTTCCCGTGTAAAGTACGTGAAAATCCCACCCAAGAAGCTAGAGTTTAAGTGAATATTAGCTGGTCTAAGCCTATGGTTCAGCTGAGCAGCCTGCTTGCAGGTTCTAAGGTCAAGAATCCCACTTGATGGAATGTTGAGGCAGCCGAGTCCGAGCACTGTGGAACGTCCAGATGTGGGTGCTTTAAGGCCAAAGGGCAAGAAAGGATTTTCCAAGTAAGAGTGAGGACCATGGAAACAAGATTTTAAAGAGGGAAAAAAGCAAGGGGGGGGGGCAGGGCAGAAGCCTGGAGCTGTCACAAAGGTAAAGAAACTCCGGCTTTGCTCCCTGAGGGTAAGGGACAATGATGCCATCCCTGAAGCCAAAGGGCATGCGGGGGGGGGGGGGGGGCGCGGCACCGGGATTCTGGACCAATTTGCTACTGTCCAGCATGCCTCCGTACAAAGCCACTCGGGTCACTAATTTCATTAGAATCAGGCTAGTTTTAATTGGATGAGGTGACAGCAGACGACCTGACTCTTTGAAGCCCCTTTCCTCGAGCCAGTCCTATGGTTGTTGCTTCTGCTGCTTCGTTTGACTGACAGGCATGAAAGAAGGACAACATGGAAAAACAAAAAACAAGCAAGAGGCACAAATACTGCCACAACCTTTGGTTTCCATGGGGCTGTTTCTCTGAAGAGTTCGGTATGTGACTTGGTAGCCCAAAGAACCTTTACTTCCAGAGTCATAAGGCTGAGGTGGGGGATTGGGGTTGGTCCCTACAGGGCTTGGGCTTCCCCCACTCCCCTGGCCTGGACTTAAACTGTCATCGGTTTTATTGATGGAAATAAAGAAGAATCTCGACCCAAAAAGAGATTTCAAAAATGACTTCAGTGGTGAGAAGGTTAAGTGGAAAATCGGGACACAGAAGTGACAACAGCGTATTCACCGCCACAGGCCCAGCAGGCGTCCCCAAACTGAGAGCTGATGACAGGAAGGAATAAAAATGAGTGCCTTGCTATAAGCTGTAACACTGCAAACAAACAGGGCCCTCTCGGGCCACTCGATCCCAGAAGATGCTGAGAATCGGCCCCCCCAGCTCACACACCAAGCAGCGGCACAGGGGTCAGCAGGGCCAACACAGAAGGGGAAAAGACCTCGGCCCCTCCCTGTGGGGGCTGTACAGGATCTCCTTTTTCAGAGAAGCTGCAGGCTCAAAGACAGGGTCTAACATGCTTAGGAAAAGGAAAACTGAACTCCATGGGCTGGGCAAGCAGGAAACGAGCAGAGACCCGCCACCACGGCCAGGGTCCTGTTCCTGTGACATCTCCACAGAATGCTGCCCCTCTGAATAAGAGGTAGAAAAGAGACCTTGGGCCTTGTATAAACTTGTGATGGAAATTTGGGGTGGGTTTCCTACGGAGTCTACAAGTGGCCACAGCACTAGTGATAAGGCAGAGTGTGCTCGTCAGAAGCTGCTGCTGAAGGCCTGGCTTCCAGTCTTGGTTCTGACACCAGGCTCTGATATCTCACCTGCCCTTTCTGGGTCTCAGTTTCCTTATCTGTAAAATGAGAGGTCTGGATCAGAAGGTCTCTACGTTCCCCTTCAGGTTTAATACCCTAGGACACCTTTTGTTCCCCTCCCTGGATGCTGCCAAGATGAAGCTCAGAGCCATCTGGCAGCCAGTCGGTGTTCTTCCTGGATCAAAGCTGGAACAACCTGTGTTATCCAAGTTTGCTGTGGTGTGAACAAGAGCCCTGAGTGGATGAGGGATGCTCAGAGAAAAAGAAGGGACGTGCACCACCTTGTCTACCACAGGGAACACCAGGATCTCCAGTAGGAGAAAGCCAGGGAAGCCAGACATCTGATCTCGTGATCTGGACAATCTCAGCCTGAAGTTTTGTGTTTAAGACTCTTTTGTACAAATGTTTACACCCTCCTCAGCCCAACAGTACCTAACTTAGGGGGATTAGGAGTAGAAAAAGGCAAACCACTTGGAAAACAGTTGATTGTTAAAGAAGTCTAATTTAAGGCAGCGTTGCAAGCAATTACTAGGATTTTAATTAATGGAAGTTAATTAATCTTAAGCTTCTTCACAGGGCATCACCCAGCTATTTAACCAGTGTCTGGACTGTGAGTGCCAGTGATAATTTCTCCCCTCTCCCCTGAAAACTAAATCCCAGGAGGGGGCGGCTCCCCCAGGTTCCCTTGCTGAACATCCTTTCCCTTTGTTTCTATGAGGCATTCATCGCACAGATGATCAGAGGGTTTGTAACCAGAGAGAACCTTCAGGGGCCTGTCGTCCAACCTCATTATTTTACAGACAATGAAACTGAGACAAAAAAAAGCGAAAGGGACTCAGGGTCACAGCTTTAGAGCAGAAAGAAGCAGCAGAGATCATCTAGTACAACCCTCTCAGTTCACACGAAAAAGGAAACTAAGGAAGACAGAATGATTTGTCCAAGGTCACCCAGGCAATAAACACCACAACTGGGATTCAAACGCAGGTCCTGACTCGAAGGATGGTACTGTTTCCCTCTGTTCCACACTGATGACAGAACTCAGATTACAGCCAAGTTTTCTTTTAATTCCAATCCACTGACCCCACTATAGATGCCTCTGCAGAATCCACTAGGAAGAACCCAACAGCCGTGCAGGGACACTGATAACTTTTACCATCCCTACTCAGGGGCAACTTTAAATTCCCTGGGAGTCCCTGACGTTTCCCAGTGAGATGCTTACCAGGGCCTTACAAACACAAGAACCAATTGCATGATTATAAGGGGAATGTACAAATGAGATTGAATAGACAAATGTTTCTTGCACACTCATTATGTTAAAGGCTCTTGAGGGGGGAGGACAGATAATGTAAGTACTGCTATTTTAGAATCAACTATTCATTAATTCAACTTACCAAACACTGATTAATATGAACTTAACATCCAGCTCTGGGGAAGATACAAAGGTTAGAGAATTGCTTAGCTGCCGCACTCCTGGGGCATCTAAAACATGCTGCTTTTCCTCTTGCTGCTTAACGTGTGCCCTGTTGATCCCATTTATAGGCAGGCATTCAAACATCCGAGCCCCCGATTCCTTCGTCTGTGGAATGGCCTTCCCTCCTTCCTTTCATTGCTAGCTTCCTCTGGGAACAGCTCTGCCCCAGCCCTTAGCTAAGGGCGGGAACAGAAAAGATGATACTGGTCAGAGATGAAGTCTTTAAGGAAAAGAGATTCTGAGCAGTCCAGGACAGTTTAAGGGCAGGCTGTGCCCAGGTCAGGTAAGTGCTCAGAATCCCTTCCAGGCCTCCAGCCTCTGGGACGTAGACCAAGAAGTCTCACGGCAGATGACTACAGAACAGGCAGTCTTAACCTCTGTGGCATCATCCTGCCCAGCACTTGGGTGGCAACCCCAGGCCTATGCTCAGGATGTTCTGCTGCCTACATTCATGACTGAAAGGAATGCTAATTTTCAGTTAGCTTAGTGAAAATCAAGCCTTTTTCCCCATACAAGACTAGAGACTCCCTAAAATTTAGCACCAGTTTAAGGATCCCCCTAGAGATATCCATACAGGAACACACACGCGCACACGCACGCACACGCACAATAGCAAGGTCAGCCCTGGGAGTCATTAGGACTGGGTAATGGCAGGACCCAGGGTGCCTGGAGTCAATCACCTGGCTTCTGGACTGTCCCAGGAACAAAGAACCACCAACACAGTAGTAGAAAGCTTGTCCTCTTACCTCACCCCCACCCCTCCCCCGGTGACTAAAACAAAAAACATCAAAGTTATTCAGTGTATAGAATTTTGTGAAATTATTTTTGTTTCCATTTCATTTGAATAAGGCCACTTGTGTGTCTGAAAATGAAAGAACAGTCAGAAGAACCCTACCGTCCACCTCCCCACCCCCCCCCAGACTGTCATGAGTAGGCAGACCCTTCTGGACAAGGCTGTGTACCCCCTAGGAGGCCCCAACCAGGCTCTGTGCACAAACGAAGTGAAGGCACTCAGGTCTACGGAAGTCTGTGAAAGATTGTAGCTTGCACATTATTTAGGATTAAAAAAAAAAAACAATAAATACAAATAAATACTATCTGAACACTCTGTTAAGGGCATCAATGGGAAATAAAACAGTCTTCCAGGTTTAAGGCAAAGACGTTCTTTTCAAACTATATACCCTGTAAAAGAAAGTAAAGGAGAAAGGGGTGAGGGGTTAGGCCCTGTGGGGTGTGAAGCTACTCACAGAAAACAAAGAACTCCCACCCAGGGATGCACTGTTTTGGAAAGCCTTTTTTCGGGGTGGGGGAAAAGGAAGGAACGATCTCAGAAAGGACTCAACGACCCAGGCCTGCGGACAGGATAGGAGCCTCGAGATCTCAGGCCAGCATGAAAAAGGTCATACTTTGGGGCAGGCAAAGGAGCCCTCAGTTTTCATTATACTTAAAAAGAAGAGGTTAATGGAATCGTCAGAAAATTAGAAGGAAAGTATAACCAACAGCCCCAGTAAGAGCAGGGCTCGAGAAGAGCCTGGGGCTGTTGTCTGAGCAAACAGCCGGGCAGAAGAGGGGCTACTGCACATTTCAGGCACCTCCCAGAGCCTTTCCACCCTGTTCTTCGGAAAGAAAGGCTTCCCTCTTCTCCTGGCTTTTAGCTGGATTCAGGAAAAATAGCTCCTGAAGCCTACCACAAACCTGGGGATAAGTCAAGTACACTTCCATTCCAGGAAGGACAGATGAGTCAAACCATTCATGCTTCTTGCAATGCTCCTGTCTGAGCTCCCACCAGGAAGCTCCAATCCCTCAAGCCTGGGTGATGCTACAGATTTACAGGCAGATTAACCATATGGCAGCTCTGTCACCAGGAAGGGCCATGAGGTTACATGGCAGTAATCAAAGAGGGTCAGAAGATGTAGAGAGAAAAGCCTTCCCATAATCTTCATTAGTGTTTGCCTAGAAAGGAAGCAGCAGATGCTCTGATGGACCTCCCGGGTCACAGCTAGCCGGACCCGTTTAACTGGCCCAAGATTTCCGGTTCTCTGTGGTCCGCTGGCTCCTCTCCGATCGCAGCGTGGATCCCCCTTCAGCTTTGGCCAGGGCCGTCAACGAAGCCAAGTTAGAGGCTGAACCTGACAAGCTCCCAGTCTTCCGATGCTCCGCTGTCACCCCTTGAAGCCTGAGGCCAGCGCTGCGCCTCCGGGCCGGCCCAGTGGCTTTCTTGATGCGGCCTGGCTTCACGAGGAGACCGTAGCCAGGATTGCATTTGAAATACTGCTTTCCCCCAATGGAGCCATCATTCTTACCTGGAATAAGAGCAAAGGAAAAAAATGGATTTAGCAGTCGCAGTATCTGGTCTCTCTTTCTACCTCCAAGCAGAGACAAAGTCACTGGCATTCCCTCCGTCCATCCCCAACCCTGCCATGTACGAACAATCCTTGCACTGTGCTACACTACACTCTTCCCCTCCTTTGAGACACCTACTTCTAGGCCAACCCTACACAGTGCGAATCACTGCGATTCCTCCAGCAACCACCTTAGTACTTATAACTGGCAAAGGTATGCACACAGGAGGTGCTTACCAATGGACAGGTAAAACCCAGTCACCTGTTTTTAAGGGACACAGCCACCAGGCAAGCTAAGCCAGTGATCAGGTGGAAAGCAGAACAGGTGAAGCACAGGCAAGCAGGCACTGAAAATAATGTGTGGATGGATGCATGCCCCCTGACTGTATGGCCTCCCAGTGTGAGGAGTGCCACCCTCTCTCAGAGGTAGACAGATACCAAGACTATTATTTACAGAGCACCAGTGGTATGCTGAACTAACTGTTGGGACTAGATAATTCTGTCAAATTATTTCTATTACAATAAAGGATTGCTAAAGCTGGAAGGAAGGCTATAGGGTCATATAACCTACTTTCTCATTTTACAGAGGAGGAAAACAACTTGACTAAAAGAACACATCTTGCACTTTCATCTTGCACTTAGGTATTTCTCCTGATACTTAGCGAATTTTTAAAAAATTATTTCAAATTGATTAATTGATTTTAAGGTGATTATTATGATCTTCCATATTCAGAACACATTAGGCACAGTCACTGGGGGGGCAAAGAGACAGATTCAGGGCCCTCAAGCTTCCTTCCAGCCTAGGAGCCTGACTAATAACAAATCTTAAGCCAGGCCTTTTATGTGACATTATGAAGTAATAATAATTGTTATTATAAATGATATCCAAATCTCTTAAGGAAGAAGCAAATATCACTATCCACAATTCAGTTTCCCTACAAAGTAACAACCTGTTTTTCCAATACCTAACCTCTAGAACGAAAAAAAAAATCACAAGAAGTGAAACAAAATCACTGATCTGAAAGGCCCAAAGAGTAGAAGATTTGGAGGGAACCTTGGAGACCATCTAGATGTCCTTCCATCTCTTGGCTTCAACTCTGTCTACAACTCCGAAGTTTCCACAGCCAATCTCATCCGATGGCTCTAGGCCTGCATTTCCAAAAACATATAGGACATCTCCACTGGGATGTCCTACCACACAGTTTGATCAAATCCAACAGGTCCAAAATGGAAAGAATCCTCCCCTCCAAATCTGCCTCCTACATGAATTTTTACACTTACTACATCTGCCACTATCCTTCCAATTAACGCAGACGTGAAACTCCGAAGTCGACTTTGACTCCTCACTCTCTCTCTCTCTCTCAAGGCCCCAATGTTCTTATTTATCTTCTTTATCTGACCCTGGGAACCTCTTTGTCCCCTCCTGTCCTTCCCTGTTGTTGTGACCCACTGATCACCACCACCTTGGTTCAGCCTCCCGACAGTTCTTCTTGCCGCGAGCTTATCCTCTTTCCAACTCATCCTTCATCCTGTTGCCAAAATAATCTTCCTAATGCGCCAATGGATCTGATCATGTCATTTCTCAAACTGAATAAAGTATAAATTCCCGATCCTGGTATTCAAGGTCCTCCATGATCTGACTCAACACCACCACTCTGCCTTGCCCCACCTCTATAACCACAATATTCCCATCCCCCTACATTTGTCTTTTTAAAGTCCTTCCCTCCCCTCCCCTTCAAGAAGAGGTCCAGCTTCCTAAGAAATCTCCCATACTCCCCCGGCCTGAAGGTGATCTCTCCTTCATCAGAACGTTCAAAGCACTATGCCTGGGACTTTTATCTCCTTTGCACTCATCACACTGTCCCCCCTATATAGTATTTAGGAATATGTTTCTCCACCATAAAGTTGCAAACTTCTTGAGAAGAGGTTATGTTTCAAGAGCCTAACACAGTGCAATGCAATAGTAAATATTTGGCAAATAAGGTCCAACCCTTCATTTCTCAGATGCAGAAAGAAAGCTGGAGCAGTAAAGTGATCCGACCAAGGGAAAAGGCAGAGGCAGCTTCAGTCCTGGGACTCCTAAATCTAGGGGTGAGACTCCAGGCAGAGGCTGTTACACTGCGCTAAGCTGGTTTGTTGGACTCACTTACCTGAAGGGAGATCCAATTCTACTCCAATCCAGGTGCCCTCCTGGAAATCTGTTGGTCCAATGTATCTGACAATGCCTGTTTTGTTAGTGCCCACCGTGACATACTCTCCCTCTTTTAACCAGTCTGGGACTTCATCAGCGTCTTCGGAGTCAGATGCCGCCTCCAGCTTTTCCTTGGCTATTCCTCCTGGATTGTGGTGGCCTCCCAAGGTCAGCTGGTCTTCGTTTGTACTGGGGGGACAATTAGAGTCTCCCAGCATTTGTGTGAATGATTTTAGCTCTGAAGTTCTCACCTTCTGGATTTTAAATGGAGAGGCCATAGCAGGAGACTGAGATAGTAAGTCAGGGGGCAGCTGTGGTTTGGGGACTGGCTCTGTGTGTTCCTTGGCTCTGGAGGGTTGTTTGGTGACAGATGCAGTCTCTGCTGCTGTGAGCTGACTGGATGATCCCTTTTGTTGGGTGGGAAAAGTGGGAAGAAAACCCTTTGTGTCAATGGCAAGAGAGGGATCTTGCAGGCCCTTATTCTTACTGAGAGGGGAGGTTGATCCCTTGGGCTTTAAGACACGACTGCTACCTCCTTGGTTTTTCTCCACTTGCTGGACCTGTGCCTCTGTTGGATTGGTCAAATTCTCTTTCTGAGTCAAACGAGAACTCTCTGAGGATGAAGTAACTGGTGGTAAGGGAACATCGCCTTCGGGTGTCACCTGGCACAGGGGATTGGAGGGAGTGCTTGGGGTCTGACTGCCAGCATGGACACTGGAGTCCGTGCCTGTTACAAGGGCATCAGATAGAGTTGCTGTTGAGACACTATGGGAGAAGTAACCACTGGAGGCCTCACTCAGAGGGCTGGGGGGACCCTCTGGGGTTTCCTGTGTCTGGACATTTGAAGAAAAGAGTTGCTGGGAAGGCATTTTGTTGACTTTATCAGAATTCTTCCCAATGGCAGGAGATGGTGGTGTAGTTTCAGACAGATGTTTCCGCTCATCTTCCTGAGTAACCTGAAGCAGAAAGCACAATAATTTAATATTTATGCACGCTTGGGTCCAGCCAAAACAACCTTCATGTTGTTCCCTGCACACAATCTATGATTTCTGTGCCTTTGCAAGGTCCATTCTCTGTGCCTGAAATGTATTCCCCCACTCATCTCTGTTTTCCAGAATCCCTATGTTCAGCTCAAACATGTATGACCTTATGTAAATATAGACAAAAGAAATATGAAAGGAGGCAATAACAACTGGGGAGATCCGGCAAGGTCTCATGGAATGGGTGAGGTTGACTCTCCTAATAAAATGTAAGGTCCTTGAGAGCACAGAATGTTTCATTTTTGCCTCTGTATTCTCATCACTGTGACTGGCATGCTGGAGTAGATTAATGAATGTCTGGCTGAATATTTGGAATTTGCCAGTGATTTAAAAATTTCTCTTGCTAAGAAAATCAGAAATAAAAATGGCATTATTTCTTTCAGCTCTTATGGAGGGATTGTGGTGTCCACTGGCAGAGCTCAGGTGGAGGGTCAATGTCCCACACTAAATGGCCACTCAATAGTGAAAGTGCTCTCTGACTGGGTCTGATGACTTTCCTCCCTTGAAAACACAGGCTCACTTCACAGGGAGACTATGAGGATTATTAAAAAGGCTGAGAAGCACTTCTCTCCCGCATAATTAAAATGATGATCTCATCAGAGGACTGGAAGATGTTTCAGAACAGCTTTTACCAGCACAAAAATAATGACCCCTGTGCCCACTGGCTCTGACTTAACACTCCTAACTGGAAGGAGCTGGGGCACCACAGGGCTAGCTCCATTTCTTGACCACGAAGTGCATGGCCCTCTCTCTCCTGTAACGCATTCTGGAGCTCCTGAGACTACTGTGGAAACACTGGCTCCCTTGCCCTGCTCAGGAGCTCCTGGTCTGCAATGAAACAAAGGTACAAAAAGCTCCAAGGGGCTCCCAGGGAGCCCACACTGAATGAGGAACAGAACCAGACTCGATGTTTTGGCCTTTCACTCTTCGATCGCTGTCTGTGAGTCATCCTGGCAGTGGACAAACACAGAGCACATATTTCGTTTGGAACTTTGACAGCCACGGCTTGTCCAAATTCCAACGTATCAGTGGTGCTGGTAAGGTGTTCTTTGGTTAATAACGCTTCTTAGGAAGCTGGCAGATTATCAGTCTGTTCACTCATTAACAATGATGAGGGGAAGAGAGGAGACAGAGAGGCCTGGGGGAAGGAGGGCTGCTTCAGCAAAAGAAATATGTTTTCCAATATTTACTGAAAGATTATTTATATTACAGGAATGGTCATTTTCCATTTGAAATACAGGATTTATTTGAACTGGGAAAGAGTCTGTGATCTATAAGTCTCTTACAGTTACTTGGCTTAACTTGGCAGTCTGATAAATCATGCATTTCTACATGAGCTGTCATTTATATCCCTGTTTCCAAAGGCACTCCTTTTCCCTCATCATACACTTCCAGGATGCAAAATTAACTGCACCTCTTGAGATTAACAGCCCCTTTTAGTGATGGATTTCTGAGCTGCAAAGTTTACAAAATCCAACAGATCAATAACCTTCACCAACACATCTACTCTAAAAGATTAAGGTCTTGCAATCTTTTTTTTTTTTCAACATGTCCATATTTTATTATTTTCTATTCTGTTTCCTAAGATCACTGACCCTCTGCCAGGAGGACTGAAGGCACCAATTCAAGGCATAAGAAAGACTAAAGCATTAGTAAGAAATCTGGTCCTGAAGCAGTTAGCCACAATACCACTTTAACTGCTTCTCAGCAGAATTCTGGAATATGTGTGCTAGGAAGTCACTAAAACATCACTTAATTCTCATTTTCCAGATGAAGAAACTGATCCCCAGCTGGTCAAAGTGACGTGAACAAAGTCACCTAGCTGGTAAATGACAGACTGCCAGCAGGCCAGGTCTGAGTCCCAGGCCAATCCTCTTCCTCTGATACTCTGCGGCCCACAACTGCACAGGCCCAAAAGAAGCTACCCACTCCGAGGCCCAAACTTCCTAAGGCTTCAATTTACATGATGCTTTACAGTGTTTGAAGTACTCTGGCATAAATTAGCCCATTAAATCCTCACAATAAGCCCATCAGATATGTTAAGGCAGACATTACAGTCCTATTTTACACAAGGGGAACCAGAACCACAGAGATTTAGTCAGTGCTGCATTTAAATTTACGCATCAGCTCGGCTGAGAGACACCAGGTCTTCAGACCTATGGTCCACCCCTCTTTCCACATCAATAGCCATTCATCCCAGAGTGTCCTTCAGAGCTGAGAGTTGTTGGCAGAGGCTTGAATTGTCTTTCCAGTCGCTGGACTTTTTTTGTTTTGTTTTGTTTTAATAAATAAAATTTCCTATGTAGATAACTTTAGCTAAGAGAATGAAAGCACAGTGGGAGAAAATAGATTTGCTATTCATAAGACTAGAAGAGCTGTTGATCTGTGGGAGATCATAAGAGACTATTTTCTCCCAGCTTAGCATTAGTCTTTTCACACTGATATCATGAATCAGAATGAAATGTAAAACTGAGAATTAAGCTAAACACTTGGAATAAGGAGATTGTTCTGTTTATAGAAAGCTCCAATGCCTAGCAGTAGGCTATTAAAGCAGCAGACTGCATTAGCAGTCAAGCACCTAAAAGTTAAACAATCATATGATTAGCAAGTTGAAAATAGAAAGTATAACAGGGAACATGGGGGCATGGGGGAGGCAGATTCGGGAGGGGGGGAAAAGTGACCTATATTACAATTAATTATAGAAAAGTAAAGTTTAAAAAAATCCGTGCAAGTGCAGCACAAAAAAATCACTCCATCTGTGCATTCTGCTTGCGGGGGCCGCCATGATGAATAGCAGGGAGGGCGCCGCTGGCTCCTCTAATAGCGCTGCTGTCAATGGCGGCACAAATACCTGTTTTGTCTTGGTCCTGCTGACATCCATGCTCACAGGCTGTACCATAATTCTGGGAATGGGCTGAAATGACAAGGAAAGAGGAAAGAAAATGTAGGTCCACTGACAATAACAGATTAAACATAGCAGGATAGGGATAATCAGAGAAGAATGCTTTAATTAAACAAACCTGAGAGCAAGTCAAGACCCCCCCCCCAGGTGAATTTTAATGGTTTAATGACTTCTGCTAATAAGCCATCCTCAATAAATATTCCTGGAATGCCAATTGCTCACCAAATCTATTCAAAGTGTGGTAGGGAACACCAAATGGTATAAAAACCCTGCACTCGAGGCCTTTACATCTAATTGGGAAGACAGAACAAAAATGCAACTGAGAATATGAAGCAGCATATACCAAGATTCAAAAGAGTGGCGCAAACAGAGAGCTACAGGAGTTTGGAAGAAGGAGAGATCCCTTGGCCCCACAGTGCTCAGGAAAAGTATCATGGGAGATTTGATCTGGGCACAGAATGATAAAGAGGAAAGAATCAGGGAGGACAGAATAGGCAAAGGATGTCTTGCCATCAAAGATACAGAGGCAATGAATGTGTTGGGGTATTCCGGTAAAAAAGATTAATTTAACTGGAGTCAGGAACTAATGTTGGGGAATAATGTAAAACAGGATTGCCTTAAATGCCAGGGGAATGGGTGTTGTCTTGATCCTGAGGGGACTGCAAGGCAAGAGAAGTTTCTGAGCAGAGTAATGGTACGGAGAATGTTTTAGGAAAATTAGCCTGCTGATGAAATTTATAATAAGGGGCAGGAGACAGAATGAAGGCAGGAAGATTCATTCAACTGTGACTTTATTAGGTAGAAGACATAAATTAGGGGTGGGGCCAGGGTTTCCAGAAAGGGAGGGATGGAAGAAATTGGGGAGTGACTGGATAATGTGGCACAAGTGAAAGGGCCAAGTTAAAGATAACTCTGAGATTAGAATTTAGGTATGGAGAGATAGCACAGCATAGTCACTTTAGAGCTGAGTGGAAACAGTGCTGAATCTGGATACATATACTGGCTCTGCTACGTAAAACCTGCATGACCTTAATGAGGTCACTTAGACTCTCTTGGCCTCTGCTATAGGGTCTATAAAACGAGGGGGTTGGACTGAATGACCCCTTGGCTCCCTTAGGCTTTAGATCTATTACACTAAGAACTGGATGGGTACCAGAATCTCTCACTCGTCTTGACATCTCTTCTTCTCTTAGGAGGCTCCAGCATCTTCAGCTGCCTACAAAATATCTCAATCTAGAGTCTGCAAGAATCTAAAGGTCAACAAGTCGAAAATCCCTTAAGGACCCTCCACAATTCGATGCCACCACCTTCTCTTTGCAGCCTCATCTTCTCCTACCCACATATTAGCTAAAGTGGACTACTCCCTGTGAGGCTTCACAGCCCACACTCCTGCTGCCTCCATGCATCCCTCACATTGTTTGAGATACCTTGAATGCCTATTTCTTTGATAGCAGAAGCAAAAATTAAATGGCCCAATCACCTATCAAAATGCTTTCCCAGCCAAGAGAAACACTGCACCTATTTTGTGCAATTGGCAATCAGTATTTCTGTAGCAACAATCCTTAAGAAGAAAATAAATAAAACCTAAAACATTAAAATAAAATAAAATCTTAGGTCTGCTACCCATCTCTCATAAACAAGAACTCTTCTTGTTAAACACTTAATCCTGTTTTCATCATGACTCTGACAGTCATGCACTGTTTTTCTCTTGCACTGTATAAACCATTTCCCACTGTGGCCCTCTCCTCTGACCAGAGATATTTGCTCAGGGTCCCATGGACCAGAAATACTCTAACCTGTTTAGGGTTATGGAGTCAGAGCTGGAAGACTAACCCCAAATTTTACAGAAGAGGAAAGGAGGCCCAGGCAGTTAAGCAATGTACCCAAGGTCACAAAAGTAGTATGAAATGAAAGTGCTATTTGAATCCAAGACCCCTGATGCCAAATACAAATGCTATTTCTTTTTCATAGTGGGTTTTTTGTTTGTTTTTGTAACTAGTTCTCTCTTATTCCACGAACTCAATACATTTCAGGTTCTAAGTTCACCAATCTTTACAACACATCTGGCAACTTTTCATAAAAATGATTATTGCAAAGCACTCCACAACCATAAATCCATGTAAGGCAAGCCAATGCAGGTAATTAAGGTTTGCAGAGTGCTTTACAAATAGCATCTCATGTTATTCTCGAAATAATACTGGGAGGTAAGAGCTATTATTATCCCAACATTTACAAATGAGGAAATTGAGGAAAACAGGGGTTAAGTGACTTGCCTAGGGTTAAATAGTTAGGAAATGTCTGAGGCGAATTTGAACTCAGGTCTTCCTAACTTCAGGTCACCTGAGCTGGAGAACAGAGGCTCAGAGAGCACATATAAAATATCAGTGGCACAGATAGGAAGCAATTCTAAATTTCTAGTGTGTTGGCTGGACATGCTATCCACTAGGTCGGACCAGGCTACACTGAACACAACCCAGGAAAGGCAATGACAGGACCACAGGCTGACGAACTAGATGGGAAATACCAGCTGGGCAGGTAAGCCGGGGGGAAGTACCTAGTACCCCCCAAGGGCTTAGTAAAAGATCTAGTGAGATGTGTTGGTGGTGAATGGCAGCAAAAGGTCATGTGATCAGAAGGAGCTTTCAATTCAGATGAGAAAAGGTCACCAAGTCGGAATGTGCCCAAAGACAGCAGATACAGGTTTTCTACCTACATCACAACTCTTAAAAATGATGGAGCCCTCCACCCTCCATCCCCCCACTGAAGCTCAAGACCTTCTGACCTCAAGGGGAGATGGGGGAGCAAAGCAGGGTAGAGAATCCATCTATGATGACAATATGAGAAGATAATTACATAAAACCTTGAACAATGTAATGACTAATAATATGAATTGGATATGCTATTTAAACCAGCATAGGTTGATAAAGATGAGGACAGAAAAGAGCCCAATATAACTGCTAATGATGACTCTGGAGGAAGAATTTTCCAATTAAACTATAGTGAGTACCTGACAATGCCAACCTCCTTTTTTAACCCACGTCATTTTGGCTAGGACTGAGCCACAGAGAGGACAGAAGGGGATTCTTTAGAGATAAAAGATAATGACTGAAGGAAATGAGGAATCCCTTCCCCTCCTGGACTTGGGTAGGTCCACTGCTTTTAGAGGGCACATGTTTTCAGTTTATTCAAATAAAAAGACCATTTTGCAAACTTCTTTTAAATTATGGCACAAAAGAAAACAAGGCTTTAAATTTAGAATTCATTACAGATAAAACATACCAAAAAAATCTGTCAAATTTTAAGAGGGAGAAGCAATGATTTGAAATGACTTTATTTTTAAATAACCAAGAAACAATTTTTTGATTATATTATTATAGTCCCTCTACTCAATTAAAAACCAGTTAAGCACCTATTATGCACATGGCACCTAGGATCTCCAGAAAAAGAAACTGTTCTGAACTTCATAGCTAATTAGGGTCCTGGCTGGTGGCCTGGTGTTACCCTTGACAATCAAGGCAACTGACCTTAATAATCTTTAAGTGGAACTGAGATGTAGATGGTGTGAAGGCCTAGAAAGGTTTATGTGTGGAAGAGTTTGAATGGAAGGAAAAAACTCACTTTTCACAGCTTTTGTCTCTACTAATGATTTCAAGACTTCCTTGGCAGTTTAAAATAAATCTTTTCTAATCATCATCTCTCCCTCTTAAAAATGAATAGACATTTCTTTTCCCCCTTATATTTCCAATGCAATCTAGGTTAAATTTTTTCCCTGTTGTCTTCATAATTTAAAACCAGGCTTGCAAATCAGTCTTCTTAGCTGAATAAAAGAGGAGATCATTTATTGTTTGCTTCAAATAAAACAGTAGTTAATACTACTAACTCTGAAATTGTTGTTAGACTAGAAGATAAAAGACACAAACACAGAGCATCTAATGTTTATATGGGTCAAGTGTTTTTGGCCAATATGAAAAGGTCCTTTGAGATCTTTTTGAAACTGGACCAAATCTTACAAGATGAGTAAGTTATCTTCTTTTTTTTTTTTTAGTAAGTTATCTTCTTGAGTGCTAAATCTCACAGGTCAGCTATCTCTCATATCACATACAATGCAGCATTTATTAAAAGATGTACTGCAATTAACTGGTATGAAAAGCACAATTCTGGATGAGCTTATTAACTTATGCACAAGACCTAACCACCTGCCAGGCAGAGTCCTGCAAAGATCCCTAGCTTATAAGTGGACCTTAGCCTATATGGGACTGGAGTCAGGAAAACCTGAGCTCAAAATCAGCCTCCAACTCTTAGTAAGTGTGTGCATCTGGGCAAATCACTTAACCTCTGTTTCTCTCAGTCTCCTTGACTACAAAATGAGGATAAAAGGAGTACCTACCTTGCTGGGTGGTTGTGAGGATCAAATGTGACAATATTTGTAAAAGTACTTAGCCCAGGTGCCTGGCATACAGTAGGTACTACATAAATGCTTATTCTTGTTCCTGTTGTTTATACCACCACATCTCTTCCCAAAATTTGCCTTATTCCTTGATCTCCCTCCTTAATTTTGACAACGTGGTTCCCATGTGTCTTCTATTTTTATGCAGCTTATAGGGATAGGAAATGAACTACTTACTGGTAGTAGTACAGAATACTTACTCTACCTAGACTCCCTACAAAAGTACCTATCTTTATTCAAGGAATTCCTCACTTCTGGTGTTGGAGTCACCGAGGATTACTGGAGAGAATGGTGAACTCAAGAGTCCTAAAACTTGAATTTCAATCCCAGCTCCATAACATACTATTTGTGGGATCCTGAGCAAGGCCTGTAACTTCTCTGGTCCTCAGTTTAGTCATCTGTAAAACAAAGTGACTGGACCAGGTGGGAGTCTGCTGTCCCCTCCCAATCTATAGCTTTGATCTGATGAAATGAGTTTCTGGCATCTAGAGCTGGAATTTGAATATATTTGTCCTCTCTTTCCCTTGAACAAATTAATTAAAAAGTAATTTTAGCATTATATGTC